GAGGGGGCAGAGTGGGGGCAGCTATGGGGTGTTCGGGAGGGGGGGTCCCTGCAAAGAGGCCTTGCTGGAGGGGGGGCGGCGTTCCCTCTAAGCCGAGTCAGTGCGAGCCGGCTCACAGCTTTTTTAGCCTCTGGCTCCCACGTGGTTCTTCCTGCCTTGGGGAAAAGGGGCACGGGGGCTCGAGAGCGAACTCAACGGATGCGGCAGCCAAGCAGCTCGCAACGTTTAATGCCAGCAGCTCACAAATTAGGATTTATTTATTTTTTGCTCGCAGGACTCCACGGCTTGGAGGGGAGAGCATGGCAGTCTTCCCTCTAAGCTGAGTGAGTGTGAGCCGGCTCAGTTTTTTAGCCTCCAGATCACATATTTTTGTCTTAGCTCAGAGCAAACTCATTTATGCAGCAGCCACATCACCCGCTCACAACTTTAATGCCGGCAGCTCACAAAGTAGTATTTTTGCTCACAAGACTCCACAGCTTAGAGGGAGCAGTGGGGTGGGGGCCCAGGACGCCGGGTTTCGGGCCCTGCCTGCACGTGGGCACCCTTTCCTTCCCCGTGGGTGGTGGTCGCTGAGAGCTGCCAGCTGTGTGGGGGGGGGAGAGGGAGAGCTGGGACTGGGGGGGGCGGTTTGGTCCTTGGCCCCGGGCTTGTGTGGGTTGGGGGAGGGGAGGCTCACGTGCGTGGGGTGGAGGGGGGAGGCGAGCCGTGTGGGGCTCTGTGCAGGCCTTGCCAGGCTTGGAGGTGTGGGGCGGGGGGGGGGGGGGGGGGGGAGGTTGTGGAAGAAGCCTCCAGGAGGGGAGTTGGGGAGTAGCGATGCCCCGCCGGACCCGCCTTGCAGGGGTGTCAATGGGTGAAGGTCGGGGTTGGTAAGCGGGGCGGGAGTGGACGTGGTCGGATCGGACTTGGGGCGCAAGGAAGCCTGCAGGAGGAGGAGATCCAGGGCAAGCTTGTCGAGTTGGGAGTTCGGGAGCCACGTTTTTCCCCCAGGTACAGGTTTGAGGGGCGCATCATGCTCGTGCGCGAGGCTCCTTGGGAGCCGCCCCGTGGGTGACTGAGGACTTCCGCACCTGCTTGGCTTGAGGAGCGATATGCGGCCCTCAGTGCCCCTGGACCACGCGCCCACCGACTCGAAGATTGCAGGCCCTTACGTGGTGCTGCCTCTGTGGAACAGGAGCCACCGGTCACCGCTCGTCTAGTTCCTCAGGAAAAGGCTCTCCTTGGAGGAAGTAGTAATGGGGGGAATGGGGAAGCCTGTGGCAGTGGAGAAG